GGCAAGTCGCCATTGAACTTGATGAGAACGACCAGCGCCTGCTGGATCACTTCATTCAGTTTGTCCTGCCCACCATCTTCCCCATCCTCGAGTCCAACCAGCACGGTTCTGTCGGCTCCGACCTCATCCTCCCTGCCCTGCAGAACAACCAAGGCTACCTGCACTGCTGCCTGAGCATCGCCGCGCAGCACTACAAGGCGACCATGAACCTGGCGGCAGAGGAGATTGACCACGACATCATGCGCCACCGCTACGCAACCATCTCGGCGCTGTGCGAAGCCCTCAACCGCGACGAGAACCATCAGCAGATTCTCGAGGCTGCGCTCGGCCTCATCTTCTTCCAGTGCGTCGTCGGCCGCTTCGACGACGCCCTTCCTGACATCCCCTGGCACCAGCACTTCCAGGCTGCCATCAGCCTCGTGCAGAAGCTTGATCTTCCTCGTCTCGTCTCTGACGAGACCCCCGTCCAGACCCCTTTCAACATGACCCTGACGGCGTGGATTGACATTCTCGGCGCCACTATGCAGGGCCAGGCCCCGACCTTTGCCCACACGTACCGTGAGAAGCATCTGTCACCCACCAACCCTAGCCTCGGTCTCCGCGAGCTCATGGGCTGCGAGGATCGCGTCATGTACCTCATCTCCGAGATCGCCTGCCTCGAGGCTCTCAAGCACGAGGGCATGGACGACATCACCCTCTGCCAGCATGTCCACGCACTTGGCGAGCAAATCGGCCTGACCGAGGTTGGCGACACGAGCCCCAAGCTCCCCTTTAACGCCTCTGGCACACTCTCCCCCAAGCAGCTCTCTCGCAACCTCACAACGGCCTTCCGCCTCGCCGCGCGCATCTACCTCTGCAGCCTCGTGCCCGGCTTCAACCCGGCCCAGCCCTCTTGCGTCGGCCTCGTTGAGAAGCTCACCACCGTCCTGCAGCACATTCCTGCCGGTCCCGCCGGCTTTGACCGCAGCCTCGTCTGGATCTATCTCGTCGGTGGTTCCGTCAGTCTCCCCGACAGCTCATTCCGCTGCTTCTTCGAGGACCGCGTTGCTGAGCTCGGCGATCTTGCCGTCATGGGCTCCTTCGGTCGCGTCGCGTCCCTGCTGCGCGAGGTCTGGCACCAGACCGCCACCGTCAAGCAGAGCCCATGCCTCAGCGCCGCTGGCAGCCCCGGGTCGAACGCTGCTGCTGCCGCGCCCGAGGTGGTACCGTACATCCCCTGGAGGGATGTCATGCAGATGAAGGGATGGGACTTTTTGCTGATCTAGCTGTGCTGGATTTCTGCTCAGTCCCTTTCTTCTTCCATCTCGCATTGTGTACCGTCTCGGTGCGTTTGGCTTTGCTCCCTATACGTTTTGATTTCCCTTTTGAACGCAATCGCCATTATTTATTTGACGTCATGTCGCCATTACATTTATTCATATACCGACGCAGCTGAGGAGGTTTCTCCCGATCCTTCCCCTTCCGTCCCATGGCTGGACAGGGTGCCGCCGATTCGAACACCGCAAACCAACTGGTTTCACTTTTTTTTTTATATAGAGGGATTGCCGCAAGGCAAGAGAAACGACTAGCGATACTTGGATCATTTAAACACACACAACACACACCTACTTGACACCTACTTCTTCACAAGAACAAACACATATCCCTTGAAGGGCATCGACACCCCTTGAAGGGACGCACGGGGCAGCTGGGCTTGGCTGCCGTTGCGATGGACAGGACGGATGAACGGAACGAAATATGCGGCATGAACCATGGAAGCTCGAAGCTGGTCAACTGCTTCTCTTCTCTGCTGCTTCCGCTTTGCAAGGGGGGGTTTACTACGTTCGCTGGATACCATTGCATGGACACGGGCGCTGGATACCTTTTTTTCTGATTTATCCCGGGCCAAGAGAGAGACGGCAGCATTGGGTTATTTTTCCTTGTGAGTGTGGGCGTTGGGGATGAGAATGGGATGAGGATTGGATGACGGGAACCACTGGATGGGATGAATTCTTGCCGGCAGAGCTTGATGCGTAGAGATCCCCGGTGGGTTCTTTGGGGCTGGCGCTTTTTAGAAGCAGATAGGAATACCCAAACGAGTCAAATTCACACGTCTTTCCTTGCTGTCGTGAGCATGGTGTGTGTGTGTGTGTGTATGTTAAAGTAGACTTGAGGATATCACGTGAGTTTGGCCATTGGGCCTTGCGCTCTTTCAGGCTGCTGACTGGACCATTCAATACCTACGCTGTAGTGCACTGTGAACCACATCGCTGGATCGCTGTGGTGCCCTGTATTCTGTGTTAGGCAGTGCTCTCGCGTCACTGCAAGCCGGAGCAGCCCACACTGCACGCCAGCCGGTCTGTCGACCAGTCATCAAGCGAGGGCCCGCTCAAGTGCCAGCACAGCAGCACTTCGATTTGAGTCACCTGCGCGATGCATCCAAAGTCACAAGACAGCGCCATTCGACACGACGCGGAGCTCTGTCCGGCGTGGCGACTGGGAGGCGCCCCCCGCCCCCCTTCGCCTCCGAACTACGTGCGGCCCGCCGTGGGGTCCTCGGGCCCGGGCCGTCACTGAGCGAATGAGACACCCCTGGCCGGCGGCGCTCGCCAGACCAGGGAACACCAGGGCTCGTTCACGCGCAGGCTGGCACGGGGAAGAATGCCTTGACCGCGTATCAATCAGCCCAAGATTCGCCTCCGCAGAGGTCGCCAACGCATTTCGTGACTCCCACTTCGATTCCTGACGAGGTCATTTGTCCTCTCGCCTCACCGCCCGAGGGGCCGCCCAGCCAGCCAGCCAGCCAGCCAGCCAGCCCCCCTGGTTTCTTGAGGACGACAGAAAGACTCACACGAGCTTTGTGATAATTGCCGCATGTCCGGCAAGGGGGAAGGAAAAAGAACGGGAATCAGGCAATCAATCGTGGATTCACCCCCCCTCTCCCTTGACAAGATGAGGCTTCAGAGCCGTGAGCAAGCAAGAAAAAGGCCCACGTGAATCCAGGTCCCAGGGTGATCGACGTAGCAGCCCAGACTGGTGGAGGCGAAGGGCCCTTAGGCTGGTTGTGTGGCCAGCGAATGTCGTTGCGTATGTTGCACAGTGGCTCGAGGACCCTGTCGAACAATGCCCTTGTTCGAGGCCGGTTCGGCGACGTGATTTGCTCCTGGGGTGGTGCTGGTGGAGTGAGTGGCTCAGGGCCCAGAGCCTCTTTCTCTCTCTCGCTCGCTCGCTCTGTTATTTGGAGGCGGTTGAATTCGGGGCGGGCTGGAGTTTGTTTCTGTTCACAGGGAGGGCGTGCGCCGAGTGAAGGGCCTGAGTGAAAGTGATAACCTTGCGGCCTATTGTGTATGCGTTGTTGCGGTGAACTCTAGGCATGATCTTGTGACTCTTCTTTGGGGGGAGAAAACTTGGCACAGGCTTTGGTTTCCTGTTCGGGCCTCCAATTGCGTGCTGTCGAGACTCGTATGTGGCTGGGGCGATGAGCGGTGTGGCTTTAGCCGAGGCTTGTCGTTTTTGTCGGGTCTTTCCGTCTTTTCCTGGCAGGCCAGTTTGGTCAGGCAAGACAGGCCAGGTGCCAGAGCCCAAATAGCCATGGCTGCCTCATCAGGCATCCTTCGACGGAACATCATCGGCTCGCGCCCCACAATGCCGGCCCCAGGCAAGAGCGTCCACAGCGCCCGGCAAGAGCATCCACAGCGCCCAGCCCCGAGGGCACCGGTAAAAGCGGGGCGCATCTAATTCGGGGCGCCCTGAGCGAATCAAGCGCGCGCGTTTCGACTGCGCGGCTACAGACCTCAACATGAGCAACCAAGAACAACCTCCTTTGAACAACCGAAACGCCAGCCCTCCCCCTGGTGACTCCATACGCCATCCACTCAGTGCCTCTATCAACCACTCAAGCGCTTGCTACGAAAAGGACCTCGTCTCACTGTGGCCTCGTAATGAGGTCTGCCTGCTGAGGAATGGGCAGTGGTGGCGACGACAAAGGCCCGGCGCTTCACGACACCCTCTCATTTCCTGCGGCCCGAGACCTTTCCAGACCTGCACTGCCCCGGCCCTGCGATGCCACATCGCTGCTTGCCCAGAGGCCTCACGCCCCAAGACGATGTTTGGCTTGCCCTGCCGATGATGCGAACCTGAGTTTTCCTCGCCGCCCCCCACAAACAACTGCTTGGCCGTCGTCAGTCTGCCGCTCTCTTTGTGGCCCCCAGTGGAGGCCTGACGACCCAGTCGTGCTACCATCCCCTTCTGCGCCCCCAGGTTACCGCGCTGCCGCCGACATGGTCCTTGGTTGGCCGTCAGCGGGCCTTGCCTGCGACCCTCTTTCCTCGATCGGGCCCTGCAGTCTGCACGAAGCCGCCGCTGTTTCCGAGCCGTCAGCGCTGCAACCGACAACGGCGGCCTATGGATCCATGGAATAGAGCGACGCATCCAAATCCGGCACCATGGCGAGCAGCACATTTGTGCGTGTGGCCTGGGCATGCTCGACCGACTGGCTGCCCGATGAGATCAGAACTCGACGGCCATCGGCTGTCGCATGGTGAGAGAGAAATGGCATCGTCATCTGATGCGCGTTTCTTTGATCGCGCTAAGGAAACGCAGGCGCCTGCTTCGTCGTGTGTCGTCCCTTTTGTTCTGACACCAGCCCACTCACTTCGTGCCAGCCCTATCGACGAGACTGTCTCTTATTTTTTGTCTTCTTCCTCTTTCTTGTCTTCTGGTGCTGTTCCCGAACAAAGTCTTTGTTACTGACCGGCACCTTGGCGAACATCTTTCCTGATCTGTCATATTCTCGAACCGCCCCTTGTTTGTGGCCGCATACCTGATCCATTTCATACTCTTTGCAGATTGACTCTTGAACATCATACACACATCATTGCGTGACTCTCTTCAATTAGACGCTCTACTCCACGGCGTACACCTTACACGGCGACAGCAAGATCGGCTTTCCTTTCTAATACCAGAGACGGGCGTCTCGCCCCGAAAGCACGCGACACATCTACAACATCAAAACCTCCATCATGGCGAGGATACGAAATCGAACACTCTTCCTTGCGTGCCTACTCGCTTCCGCAAAGGCAGCATCCATTCCATCCATCTTCCAACGCGACGACCAAGCAGTGTGCGGCGGCAAGAACCTCTTCCAGTGCTCGAGCGGCGTCGACGATGGACTTTGCTGCAAGACGGGCGACACTTGCATCTACCTCGCCGGTGGATCAACAGTGCTGTGCTGTCCGGCAGCCACCTGCAACCGGATCATGCCCATCCAATGCAACGTTGCCGCCCAAAATCCATCCAATTTTCCCAACGCGCCTCTCAAGACGACAGCACTGCGGGCAGAGCTACCCAAGTGCGGGGACAACTGCTGCCCCTTTGGCTTCACCTGCAACAGCGACGGCCAGTGCGACATGGACGAGAATCAGTCCGAGAGGCCATCTGAGCGACCGGCTTCTGAAATATCATCCACCACAGTAGCGCCGACATCGACGCTGCCCTCACCGAGCATCATCACCTCGACGCCCGAGCCTACGGCTACATCATCTACGGCATCAGCATCGTCATCAACGACAACGCCCAGCGCCGGTGCTGAAGAACAGCAGCAAGACAACAACAGTTCGTCAGGGGACGACAAAAAGTCCTTCCCAACAGCAGGCGTTGTAGTCGGCGTGCTCGGCGGCGTGCTCGTACTTATCGGCGTAGCCGTCGGCGTCTTCATGTGCCTCTCCCGCCGGCGCCGCAACCACAGCCGCACAAGCCCCTCGTCGTCGTCGCGCCCCTTTTCCTCGGAGAAGAAACACCCCGCCCTCCGCCGCGCCGCCTCCTCAACCTCGTCCTTTGGCAACTTCATCTCCGAGCCGATCCCCAACGACGCCTCGGCGCTGCGCACCGACTTTATCCTCAAGACGCCCTCGACAGCAGGAGCAAACAACACGACAACAGCAAAACGCGCCTCGCAGCGCCTCTCGGCCCTCTTCCGCCGTGACGCGTCGAGCGGCAGCGGCGGCGCCACCGCCATGGTTGCGAACCCGCGCTCGCCCCCGCGCATTCCGGCCCGCACCCTCTCCAACGCCACCATGACAACGTCCGACCCGCGCGCCGCGCTGCACATCCCGCCCATTCGCACGATGCGCAACCAGCAGCGCCCGGTCATCCAGACAGGCAGCGCGTGGGCGCGAGGCCCCGCGGCCCGCGCGGCGGCCGTGCTGGCTACGACGCCCACGGAGCCTACGGTGCCCGTGACGCCGCGGCTGCAGCGAGAGCCGAGTGGCGAGTGCATCAACATATTTGCCGACCCGGGCACTGTCGGCAGCGGCAACGGAGACAGGTTGATGCCCGGGGGATTGCTGCCGCCGAGGGCCAAGCGGAACACGTCTGCCACGACGTTTACGGAGCTCATGGAGGAGGCGCAGTTGGGGGATGTGCGGAGGGGGGATCCGTTTGTGCCGAGGACGCCTGGGCGGATGTGAGCTGGTGTTTGATCTGTCGATCTTTTTCTTTTTTTTTTTTAATCAGCTTGTTGGCACTTGCTCTGTGGCTTGCTTGGTTGGGATGGTCGTCTTTCGGCTGGGTAGCTGGCGTTTGAGCATGGCCTGGTGGCCTGGAGGGGTGATATATAGGATTGACCCACGGTCGTTTATACCCCTAGTATTGTTCTAGTCTAAGACTGGTTGCAGCGCGGCCGTCTTCATATCGTATTTATTCTTTACTATGCTGGAGGGCTGCGATGATGGTAATATGCGGTGTGTACTTAAAGTGATCTTGCTAAGGCTGTAGTGTGAATGTAATCCCTTTCTTCTTACTGAATGTATATGCTGGAATAAACTGCGTCTAAATCAGTTTGATGATGGATATGTAGCCTCTTAAACACACCATTTATCATGACAGACCTGCAACCGCCGGACCCGGCAGGCGGCAGGCGGCCCCACAGCGGCCCCGCCTCACGTCACTGCCACTAAACTCACTGTATCGCACCTGCCAAAATCTGCTGAGCCAAGCTCGGGGTCCTCGTCTACCTCACTCCAGTTCGATCCTAACTCAAAACAAACACCACCACCACCACCTCCATCTCTATCCCTACTGTTGACTCAGATTTTTCATCAATCGGATTCGTGGCGCAAGGCATTTTCGACAGACCCAAGCCAATCGCCGCCCCCCGCCCCCCGCCATGTCAGACTCGGAAGAGGACTACATGTCCATGATCATCCCGGACGCCCCAGCCTCCACACCGGCGCCGACCTCGCTCCAGCGCCGCAAGGAGCAGCAGCGCCAGTCGGAGCTGCGCGCGCGGCAAAAGTCCAAGGCCGAGCGCGCCGCCGAGGACGAGGCCCGCCGCGACGCCGCCCTGCAGACGTCCATCCTCGACGCGCCCGCGCACCAGACGAGCAAGGGCCTCGCCATGATGGCGCGCATGGGGTTCCGGCCCGGCGGCGCGCTCGGGGCGCGGGGCAACGACGGCGCTGCGCGGGAGCCCATTGCCATCGCTGTCAAGGAGGACCGCGGGGGCATCGGCATGGAGAGCGAGAAGCGGCGTCGTGAGCGCGAGGCGGAGGAGGCGGCGGCGGGGGAGGAGGCGGAGAGGAGGAAGAGGGTCAGGGTTGAGGAGCCGGGGGAGTATCGTGATCGCATTGCGAGGGAGAGGGAGGCCGAGAGGGTGGAGAGGATGGTGGCGAGCGCCCAGAGGATCCTCGAGGGCATGGCGGAGGAGGCCGAGGCTGAGGTGACGCAGGAGGGCAGGCGCCGCAGGATCAAGGCGAGGCCGTTGAAGGCTGTCAACGTCTTGTGGCGCGGGCTCGCGCGACAGCGGGAGGAGAAGGAGAGGGATCGCAGGATGCGGCATGATCTGGAACAGAGCTTGTCACGACTGCCGACGTATGAGGACGAGGACGAGGACGAGGACGACAAGAGGGCGCTGGGCAAGGGCAAGACGACGGTCTACGAAGTGGCCGACGACCTCGACGAGGAGGACCCGGAGTTGGACGAGTTCAAGATTCTCGAGCCCCCGGAAAGGCTGAAGCGGCTGGTGGCCTACATGAGGGACGAGTTCAACTACTGCTTCTGGTGCAAATTTAGATACCCCGATGAGACCATGGACGGTTGTCCTGGGCTGACGGAAGAAGACCACGATTAGACAGCAAATTCCGAGGACATTTTCTCTTCGACTTGTCGTATTAATACAGGACGTGCTTGCGCGACGCCTTCCCCTCTTCTCTATGCTGAGTATGGTATATCTTTGGAGATGGTACAGGACGGCCGGGGCTCTGCCCTTCAGCCTAGTGGTCTTTTACAATATCGTACACGCCCATCTCACGAGCGACATCGGCAACATCGTCCTCGACATTCCGTGCCGCCGGCAGATACTCGCTCTCTAGGTACTCCATCATCTCCAGCCCCCGCTCTTCGGGCGTCATGTCGTCCAGCGTCCGCACCGGTCTGCCGAGCTGCTTCTGCCTGTCCTCGACCCACTTGTCGATCTTGCGTTTCGCGAGTCGCAGCTTCTGCCGTGCCGTCGCAGTGTCCCACGCAAGGTTGGTCGTTCCGATGACCATCTCGAGGCCCAGAACCTCGGGCGGGACATAGCCAAACACGGCCCGGAGCGCACGCATCGCCACAACGAGGCCCAGGTTGTCCTTCAGCCGGCGGAACGTGTGGAGCATCTTGCGCGCCAGCTGCCCGTCGAGGCTCTGGCCCTTGAAGACGTGCGCGAAACGGACCGTCTCGGCAAAGGTTTCTCTCGTGAGTCGAATCTCCCCGGCCGCGCGGTCCTCGGAGAGAATCTGCAGTCTGTTGACGCCAATCATCTTCCACAAGGCCATAAAAGTGTACGAATCCGGCTTGACGCCGCGCTCGTGCACGAGCGATCGGTACAGTTCCTGTGCCTCATCAATGTCCCCGAACTGCGAATGTGATTCCATGAGCTGGTTCAGCATGAACGCGTCGGGGCTGATCTCGGCCTCCCTGAAGGCAACCCAGAGGTCCTCCATGGGCTTCTGCAGCCTCCGCACCCGGTAGTTCTCCGCCAGCAGCGAAAACGTCTCCAGGGTCGCCTTGGGCATCGGGTCGGCCTCGTAAATGCTGCTCGTCTTGGCGTCCTGCGTGTACGCGCCGCCCTCCAGCCCCGCGAGCCGCCTGCGGGCGTCGACAAAGCGGATGCGCGCCCTGACCATGTCCCATGCGAGCTTGTCGGCCTTTTGCAGATCGTCTGCGCCGCCGCTTCTTTGCCATGCGCCAATCAGGCCGTTGATCTGTATGCTCGCAGGCTGGATGCCTCGGGAACACATGAATTGGAAGACGCTGTGGGCACCGTCCAAGTCGCCCGCACCGATCAGCCGCTTGAGCCACTTGCCGAAGAAGAACTTGTTGCCAATGCTGGACGGCAGCTGCGTGACGCCGCGGAGATCAACGGTGCCTGAGGTCATCATGTCGACAAACGCGAACAGGGCACGTTCGGTCTGGTTCGTCGTCAGGAAAAAGGCAATCACTTGGTCGTAGTCCTCCAATCCCATGGATTCGCCGAGGAGGTCTCTCATTCGTCGATATGCGTTCCAGGCCTTCTCTTGCATCTCATCTGTTGGCTGGGCCGCGCAAGTCCGGATATAGGGCATGAGGATACGAGGGTCTAGCTGTCGCTCGAGGAGCTTGTTGATCGCCCTCTCTGCCTGCACGAGGTCTTCTGCCTGACAGGACATGCGGACGCCCAGTTCCCAAAACTCCTGGAACGTATCCGACCCGCTGTCGCCGAGCGTCGACATGCATCTTTTCCAGTTATCGATCGCCTTCGCCTCGAAACCGTCGACGAAAAGCGCCTCCATCGTGATCAACTGCTGCGAGGGATTCAGCGCCACTTTTGCTTCGCTCATATCTCGCGCTAGCAGAGACAGGAAGGCGAAACGGCTGGGGTTGACAGCCTCCTCCACGGACAAGATGGCCCAGAGCAGATCCCACACCTCCTGCGGAACATTGGCCCAACCTTTAGCGAGGGTTTGCCGAGCCAGATTGTATGCCTTCCAGACTGACTGCACCGTCTTGGCCGTAATCGCCTCACGCAGCCGGAGTTGCTTGTCGACCCGCTCGAGAATGGCGTTGAGGCGACTGAGCCTTCGTCTCTGGTTGTACGTCCACATTTCAGTCGGGATTTGTGGTACTGGGCGGCGTGTCTTGGGCTTTGCGATCGGTTGATCCAAGAATTCAAAATCATTCTCAAAGTCGTCGTCGTCCATGTTCGTCAGGCGGTCCATCCGAAGCCCTTGCGCTTCCAGTTTGTCCTCCAACTCCTTTATGTATTCGTCAAATCGTTCTCCGAGACCTTCAGGATCGTCGAGATTGCCCAGCTGGGCTTCGAGGTCCTTCGCCACGGCGTCGGGGTCATCAATGCCCAGCTTCTTTAAGCTTCCATCCTGCTTCAAAGCGCCCAGAAGCTGCCGCATGTCGGATGCTAGGTCGAGCTTGAACTCCTTCTCCAGTTCACCCTTACCGTTGAGAGCATCGGAGAAAGCGTCGTCGTTGGGGAGTTCGGTGACGGCCCCCTTTTCATCCTTGTCGAAAAATCGCATCGTCGTCCCCTTTTCCTTGTTCAAAAGCTGTCTAAGGAGCGCGGCGGCAGCAGCACCTCCTGAGTGACCAGCCTGTCCATTGTTGCCTATCGGTAGCGAGAAGGGGTTTTGTGCTGGTGTTCGTGCAGAGGCTCGAGGGTTGCGACGTCCTTGGGTTTGTGTTCGGTGGCGCTGGGCCGCTTGCGAGCTATTCTGTCGGGTCTGCCATGTCACTGCAACGGGCTTTGCCAAGGTCGAGAGGCACGACTGGCAGACAAAATTGTTTCGACATTGCAGGTCGCGAAAAAGAGTGCGTTGAGACATGAGCACCACACGACAGCTCACAATCAAGACTTGCTCGGAAAGGGAAATGCAACCGCTGAAGCCATCAAGAGATTTTTCGATGGACCCTGACGACAACGCGCGACGCGGAAGGAAGTTGGGGTCGTGAATCTAATCGCAGCGCCTTATCTTATCGCAATCCACCAAGCCCCCCACCGAAAATTCCGACCGCCTTCTCTCCTCAGATCTTCCTCGACAGGTACGCCGCGGCAGAAAAAGATTATTTTCTCCTCCCATTGAAGCCATTGCATTTGCCCGCCGAACGAGAGCTCTTGAGCCTCGACCCAAGAGCTACGCCTGCTTGTCGACGACGCAAGCGACCGTCACCATGTCCTCGACGCCAGAGTTCCTCCGCTTCACGGGCCACCGGGCCTTCGCTCAGCGTCTGATCCTGTCGACACTCACCGGCCGTCCCATTCACATCTCCAAGATTCGAAGCTCATCACCAACACATCCTGGCCTCGCCCCGCATGAGGTCTCGTTCCTCCGTCTCCTCGAGGCCGTCACCAACGGCAGCTCGCTGCAAATCTCGTACACCGGTACGACCATCACATACCACCCCGGCCTCATCACCGGCACGATAGCCGGCTTCGGCGCCACCGATGGCGATGTCATCGAGCACACCCTGCCCGCCAACAACAACCGCGGCGTCACCTACTTCCTCCTGCCCATCTGCCTCCTCGCGCCCTTCTCCAAAGCACACATGAACATTCGCATCTCGGGGCCCGGCGTCATCACATCCGCCACCCAGACGGGCGACATCTCGGTCGACTCGTTCCGCACCGCCATCCTACCCCTCTTCGGCCTCTTCGGCATCCCGCCCGCGCGCATCGAGCTGCGCATCCTGCAGCGCTCCTGCCCCGGCAAGGGCGGTCGCGGCGGCGGCGGCATCGTCGAGCTGCGCTTCGCCAGCCAGGTCCGCCTGCCCAAGACGCTGCACCTCAACCGGGGTCCCGGCAGGATAAAGCGGATCCGCGGCGTCGCCTACTGCACGGGCGTCTCGGCCTCGAACAACAGCCGGCTGATCCACGCCGCGCGCGAGGTCCTCAACCCGCTCGTCTCGGACATTCACATTGCCGCGCAATACGACCAGGCGCCGCTCATCCCCGGGGCCGACAAGACCAAGACGCGGACGGGGATCGGTTTCGGCCTGAGCCTCGTCGCCGAGTCGAGTTCCGTCGGCGTCATCTACTCGGCCGACCTGGTCGCGCCGCCCACCGGCGGCGTCGTGCCCGAGGACATTGGCAAGCAGTGCGCGTACCAGCTGCTCGAGACGATTGCGCAGGGCGGCTGCGTGAGCCGCGTGTCGGCGAGCACCGTGCTGACGCTAATGGCGATGGGGTCTGAGGACGTCGGCAGGTTGAGGATAGGAAGGGACGTTGTGGGCACGGAGGAGGTCGTCGGCCTGGCGCGCGATCTGCGGACGTTTGGCGCCAGCAGCTGGGGTCTGAGGGACGTCAACGAAGACGACGCGGACGACATCATCGTGTCGGTCAAGGGCAGCGGTGTGGGCAACGTCGGACGCAAGGTAGCATGAGATACCAACTGTAAGAATGTACAAGCGAATTTTTTTTCTTTTCTGCCCTTTTCTGATGCACGGAGTTCGCGCCATCGCGCTGTAGTGTGCGTGCCCTTCTATCTTGCTGTCTGATTACTCCCGAATGCCAGCGTTCGAGCGCGGCCTGCGATTCGAGCCAACGTGGCTTGGTACCCTATCGACTGAAGCGCGTGGCCTACGGCACCCCAGAAGTCCGGCGTTGAGTTGCGCAACGTGTGGAAGACGTCCAAGTCTCGAAGCATGCCGTTTCCAGAGTTCATGACGTCGACCAGTGCGATCCTCCTCGTCGGCAGCGCTATTGGGGTGTCAGAGAGAAACGGTCGCCTCTCTTCCGTGTCCCCTTCTGCGCCCAAAGGTTGGCTGTCGTTTCTTCGGAGGGACTGCATCTCAATGCCTCCATTTTCCTCCCCGTCCGCCACGCCTGCAGCATGATTTTCGTCGGAGTGATGTTCACGTCCCTCAGAGATCGAATCCGCAGCGCCGAGATCCTCGGAAAGCGCCGTGATGAGCCGTGAGCGTTTCGGGCGCGTGATCAGTCGGAGTCTCTCTCTTTCGACGTGGCCTGCGAGCATGAGCCCCTGAACAGCCAATATCACCAGGTCCAGGGCAAGAAGGGTCAGCCTCGACGCGGGAGGCCTTTGGCCGATAAAGTCCACAATCATGCCCCCATGCAGATACCCGCGCGACGTCTCAGCAGCCGTTGGTAGGGATTCAAAGATGTGCGCCAGGACGCACAACAGCGCCGGGAAGAAGACGGAGAGGATCTGCGCCTGGATAGCAGGCAGTGGTATTGGCCAGTCGTCAGGCTTCGGACTGAGGAAGTTTTGCTGACACCACGCTCGCATGAAGAAGCGGACGGCAGAGCATCTAGCCATGAAGTTAGTGGGCTGTCGATGGTATCCAGTGGAGGAACGAACATACTCCATGTAGTATTGCGCCGCAAGCTCGGCATAGACGAGCATGTCCAGGTTCTTCAGCAGATGTGTCACGAAATCAAACTTCTTGACGAGTCCAGCGTCGGGCTTGATCGTCTTTCGCCGCCGTCGCCGCCGCGAGGACCGAGTGCCGGGTTCATGGTCGCGTCCTGCAGACGAGGGACCGCCGGGAACGTGGGTTTCGTCGCGCTGGTTGGCAGTCGAGTTTGTTCGGGACGCCGGCGAGATAGGCGGGGAAGCATCGTTCATAGCTCGGTCATCTCATGGGCTCCCAAGTGAGAGGCGGGAGATCATGGCTTCCTGCAAAGGAGCTGTAGAGTTTGTGGGGGCGGAAGGGGGGGGGGGCCGTTCGCAGGAATGTCGACGTCGCGTTGAATCTTCCAGTGGCCCAGGCGTAAGGCTACAGGGGGCGACGAGCAGCAAGTGACGCCATTCGCGTGTTCTGAGCTGCCAAACGCCCGGACCACGGGAGAGCTCCACCTCTTCATGTCGAGATCCTAATGCAGTTGCCACTGACTGCACTGGCCCGGAAGCTGGAGAAACGAAATTACGGAGGGACCCTGAAGGCCCCTGCCAGCTATGGACCATATCTCGCTGCTTTAGATGCTCTGACAGGAGTCAACTGAGTTTCCACGAAACTAGGTACCTAGGCACGGTACTTCATCCTGACTAGCAGTGACAAAACAATAATCGCAGACAGTCGTGTTTATTGACAAGTTTCGTGTCGGTCTTCCCACCACTTCTGAGACGACCGTTAAGCGAAGTGGTAACTGTCACAGCGAGGTGTGGTGAAGTACTGCAAGCCTGGGCAGATAAAAAGGAACAACTGGTCTCCGTTCCAGTTGATATCGAAAATCAAATACACGATAGACATGCGGCGAGAACTCATTGCAGACTTGGCAATGTTGTCTTTGCCTTTATGATCAATGCTCATCATGGACCTAGAATAGTTAAACAAATTGGTGACAACAAGATGATGAACACGACAACAAGACATTCGGATCGAGCTTGAAGCGGAATCAACAAGCCCAGGTCTGCGCCTCTGAATGTACGCTAGACACATACTGGGACTTGGAGAAGACGGCCACATCCTAAATTTATCAGTATAACACAACGCCCAATGTAGAGCTAGTGATGGACCTCATAAAGGCAGAGTGGTGCGCGCAGAGGGGCCGTTTGACAAGCGACCCTCACTCAGTAGATACATCCAGTAAAACAAAACAAGCAGCCTCAGAACCTATGGCCTCATGGCCTCTTAGAATATTTCAATGGGCTCTAAATCTCGCATAAAGCAGACGCCGTAAGAATGCACGCCCTCCTCATAGCTCTCAGCCCGACCTGGTTGTCTAGGGTAAGAGCGGCGAGACCGCTAGTCCTAACCAGCCCGGCCTGCCATTCCCCTCCCCCAAACGCTGGAGGGCGCACTGCCCGCTCTTGATTGCCCCGCCATTTGGAGGCGCCATAATTATTTCTGCCGAGACCACGTTGGTGACTCAAGCCGTAGGTCGCAGCTCAACACAGTGCAACACCTCAACCACGAGCTCCCGAACGCTCCCATACCTTCGCCATGACGACAAGCAGTACCGTCCCCTCGGGGGACTTGGCAACCCGCATCTTGCTGGCGCTGTCCCAAAAGGACCCGATCCTGTCTGCCGAGTCGTTCCCCGAGTCCGCCTTCGCCGATACCAAGGCCGCTCTCGACCGTCTTGCCAGCCGGTCTATGGTGTCGTACGAGACTATTGAGAAGGAAGAAGTCACTCTGGAGGCCGAGGGTCAGCAGTTCGTTGAGCATGGCAGCCACGAGGCTCGCGTCTTTGAGGCCCTCCGTCAAGCGGTTGATGGTCTGAGCGTGGTCGATCTTGAGAAGGCCATCGGCGACAAGGCCGTGACCAAGAATGGACAAGGCAAGGCCTTCAAGGAGAAGTGGATTTCCAAGAGCAAGGACGGCAAGCTGGTTGCCACCGTAGGTTGCCCGTCATGCATTCAAGTGACGAGGATACCCAGCTAATGGTGCCCGAACAGGCCGACTCGATTCAGGATGTCACGCGGGAGCAGCTGAAGCAGATCCAGGACACGAAAACGCACGACGCCAAAATTGTCACGGAGCTCAAGAAGCGCAAGCTCGTCAAGACGCAAAAGGTCATCAGCTTCAAGATCACAAAGGGCGCCGAGTTCGCGCTCGAGATCAAGAAGGAGGAGACGGACCTGACGGCCGACATGATCGCGTCCGGCGCTTGGAAGACGGCCGACTTCAAGCCCTACAACTTCAAGGCCCTCGGCGCGGACCAAAACTCGGGCGCCCTGCACCCGCTGAATAAGGTCCGCCACGAGTTCCGCCAGATTTTCTTCGAGATGGGCTTCGAGGAGATGCCGACCAACAAGTACGTCGAGTCGGGCTTCTGGAACTTTGACGCCCTCTTCGTGCCCCAGCAGCACCCGGCCCGCGATCTCCAGGATACCTTCTACATCTCAGACCCCAAGGTCGCCGGCCGACCTGGCCCTGAATCGGAGGACGACAAGAAGGACTACGAGACGTACTGGGAGAACGTGAAGCAGGTGCACCAGGATGGCAAGTACGGTTCAATAGGGTACCGTTACCCCTGGGAGGCGGATGAGTCACTGAAGCTCGTCCTCCGCACACACACGACCTCTGTGTCGACAGCGATGCTGCACAAGCTGGCGGGCCTGAAGGGTCCCGACGGGCGCCCGCCCCCAGCGCGCTACTTCTCCATTGATCGGGTGTTCCGTAACGAGAGCGTCGACGCGACACATCTGGCCGAGTTCCACCAGGTCGAGGGTGTCATTGCTGACTACGGCCTGACGCTGGGTGGTCTCATGGAGTTCATGGAGATCTTCTTCAACAAGATGGGCATTACGGACCTCAAGTTCAAGCCCGCGTACAACCCGTACACGGAGCCGAGCATGGAAATCTTCAGCTTCCACAAGGGCCTCAACAAGCTCGTCGAGATTGGCAACAGTGGCATGTTCCGACCGGAGATGCTCGAGTCGATGGGTCTGCCAAAGGATATGCGGGTGTACGGCTGGGGCCTGAGTCTGGAGAGGCCGACGATGATCAAGTACGGCATCTCGAACATCCGCGAGCTGCTGGGCCACAAGGTCGACCTCAACTTCATCGAGAGGAACGCCGCGGTCCGCCTGGACAAGAACTAGAGAGGTGTGTAGATGAAGACGTGACGATTGTATGAGGAGCGATATGAGGCACGGCGGGCAAAAAAAAAATACCAAGAACATTAGACAAGTCGCTGCGATCGGTGTGCTCGTGATGCTTCACCCCAGATCGCGATCTGCATCATGGAGGTGATCCATTGACCAATGGCAGCACCAAGAATTCAACGGATGCAATACTGGGCAGGGTGCTCGATGGAGGGGCAGCTGCCGAACTGCGGGGCAGTGCAGCAGCTTGTCTCCGAGATAGGAGCCAGGCTGACCGCATTTTCAATGTGACTCGATTGCACAACCGTGAAGGAACTGACAAGTCAATTAATTATTTTTTTCATTTTTGCTGCCCACGCGTTGACTCAAAGCCAGGGAGTTGAAGGAAGTCCAAGAAAAAACTAAAAAATCAACGGAATTCGGGTTATCCTCTGAGTCACGCTGAGCAGTTCTTGGCTCGGACTCCGCCATCCTAGATCATCTCGATCGTCCTCAGCTGGGGGCAGCTCCAAATGTTGGCAGATTAGCCCGCGATAGTGGCAGGCCCCTGTAACGCCCGCCTGGCGGTAGGGGACTTCCAGGGGCCCATGCAGGGGACCCTCTGCCGTTTCGGGTGCCCCAGCCTCCGACTGCGGCACCCTAACCACTCAGGCTCAGAAAAATTTCCTTATCTTATCTGTTACTCACCGGGACCGCCATTTGGGTGAGTCGGCGTCCTGGGTCTTTGTGTCTGAGCTTCCCCCAGCCCGGAAGAGCCGTCTGATCCTAACTCTATCCATCAGAGGTCCCCCAAACAAACATCTCTTGGAGGAGTCACAAACCTTCCTGCCGCGGCGCATAACCACCCATTGCCTTTCGGTCCAGAATCCCTTCAATTGGCCCTGGACTTCAATTTGTTGGCTCCTGCCCTCCTGTCGATTTCAAGAGCCATTGAACCTCTGTTCCGAATCCAGCAATCGCAATGCCGTCGGCCATGGCTCGTTCCCTGGCCGGGCGAGCTCCGGCGGTCCTCCGACACGGTCGACGAATGGCTCTGCCCGTCCGCAGCTTCACCAGTCTGACCGCCGCCTCCAAGAGCTTCACGCCAGCCCAGTCACAGCTTGCTCAGGCCAGGCTCAACCAGAAGCGTCTGTTTCAGTCCGCCGCCGTGCGCCTCAACGTTTCGCAGCAGGCTCCCAACCCCAAGGCGTACCTCGAGAGCGGAGTCATCAAGCCCAAGGAGCTTGTTGACGTGAAGAAGGTCCTGGTCATCGGCAGTGGCGGTCTCGCCATTGGACAGGCTGGCGAGTTTGACTACTCAGGTTTGTTCTGCCCAGGAGCTTAATCACCGGTGGTTCGTGATGTTGCGTGCCTGCCTCAGGAACATGACTCACGGCCAGGTCACAACTTTCAAGAGGACAATTGACTAACATGACTGCTTCAATCAAGGTTCGCAAGCTCTCAAGGCTCTCAAGGAGGCTGGCGTCGCCTCTGTCCTCATCAACCCCAACATCGCTACCATTCAGACCAACCACTCCCTCGCCGACGAGGTGTACTATCTGCCCGTCACCCCAGAATACGTCACCTACGTGATCGAGAAGGAGAAGCCCGATGGTATCTTCCTGTCCTTTGGCGGCCAGACGGCGCTCAACCTCGGTGTGCAGATGCAGCGCCTCGGTCTCTTTGAGAAGTACGGCGTCAAGGTCCTTGGTACCAGTGTCAAGACGCTCGAGACGAGTGAGGATCGTGACCTCTTTGCCCGTGCGCTTGGCGAGATTGATATCCCCATCGCCAAGTCCATTGCCGTCGGCACCATCGAGGAGGCCCTCGATGCCGCCGAGAAGGTCGGATACCCCATCATCGTCCGTGCCGCCTACGCCCTCGGTGGTCTGGGCTCGGGTTTCGCCAACAACGAGGAGGAGCTCAGGAATATGGCTGCTCGCTCCCTGACCCTGTCGCCCCAGATCCTGGTCGAGAAGTCCCTGAAGGGCTGGAAGGAGGTCGAGTACGAGGTCGTTCGTGATGCCAACAACAACTGCATCACCGTGTGCAACATGGAGAACTTTGACCCGCTCGGCATCCACACAGGCGACTCCATCGTCGTGGCCCCGAGTCAGACCCTGAGCGATGAGGAGTACCACATGCTGCGTTCGGCGGCCATCAAGATTGTCAGGCATCTCGGTGTCGTGGGCGAGTGCAACGTCCAGTACGCCCTCCAGCCCGACGGCCTCGACTACCGTGTCATTGAGGTCAACGCCCGTCTGTCGCGTTCGTCCGCCCTCGCCTCCAAGGCCACCGGCTACCCCCTCGCCTACACGGCCGCCAAGATTGGTCTCGGCCACACCCTGCCCGAGCTCCCCAACGCCGTCACCAAGACGACGACGGCCAACTTTGAGCCCTCGCTCGACTACATCGTCACCAAGATTCCCCGATGGGACTTGTCCAAGTTCCAGCACGTCAAGCGCGACATTGGCAGCGCCATGAAGTCCGTCGGTGAGGTCATGGCCATCGGCCGCACCTTCGAGGAGTCCTTCCAGAAGGCCATCCGCCAGGTCGACCCCAAGTTCGCCGGCTTCCAGGGCGACCACTTTGAGGACCTCGACTTCGAGCTCCAGAACCCCACCGACCGCCGCTGGCTCGCCGTCGGCCAGGCCATGCTCCACCACGACTACTCTGTCGACAAGGTCCACGACCTCACCAAGATTGACAAGTGGTTCCTCTACAAGCTCGAAAACATTGTCAACATGACCCGCGAGCTCCAAGACGCCGGCGGCCTCAGCGCCCTCACCAAGGACCAGGTCCTCCAGGCCAAGAAGCTCGGTTTCTCCGACAGGCAGATTGGCAACGCCGTCAAGAGCACCGAGGACGAGGTCCGCGCCGTCAGGAAGAACTTCGGCATCCGCCCCTGGGTCAAGAAGATCGACACCCTCGCCGCCGAGTTCCCCGCCGACACCAACTACCTGTACACCACCTACAACGCCTCGTCCCACGACGTCACCTTTGAGGACAAGGGCACCATCATCCTCGGCAGTGGTGTCTACCGTATTGGCAGCTCCGTCGAGTTCGATTGGTGCGCCGTCAGCGCCACCAACGCTGTCCGTGAGCTCGGCCAGAAGGCTGTGATGATCAACGTAAGTCCAAAAGTTTCTTTCCTGTGTTTCCTTTCTTCGCTTGTCCGTTTCTTCGACACTCCGTCTATGCAATTGTTCTGCCCCGTGATCCTATTGCTACGAGGCTTCTCGAGCATCATGTCCAGATCAAGTCATATCACGTGATTTGAGTTCGGTCCACGTTCTCTGTCAAACTGGCAAGAGCGATATCTCAACTTTCCATACGCTCTCCACTGGGGCTTTCTTCGGTGGATCCTGCCCATCATGAGGCTCCCGTCACGCCTTCGGCGTCAAATTTGGGGCTGTCCGAACGCCTTCGGGCGTGACTTCTCAGTTCACGACCGCCTCACTCCCACATGAACAGAGCTCTGGCTATTATCACTTCCCTCTGGGCCACCTCTTTCTACCTGGGCACTGCAGCCTCAAAGTCGGCCAAACCCCTCAAATAAGACCGCCTCGTCTTTGGCTTGCTCCTGGTCGACCACTGCATTTCTGGGCAGGGGCGTCTTTCTCCTATGGCTCTTCCCGTCGTTGGAGCACTCCTGACTGCGTATGGCATCTTTGGAAATTTGTCCAAACCCATCCATAAGAGCTGTCTCGCCCAGGGTTTCCTGCCGGCTATGGCTCTTTTGGAAACCCGTTCAAACTCTCGACTGTGGCTTCCTCGCCTTCTATTTACCTCAAGCCGGCCATTCGGTCTTTGGAAAATCGTCCAACCCCTCGACTATGGCTGCCTCGGCGCAGCCTGGCCAGTTATGGCACCTTTGCGAAACTCTCCGAACTCCCCAATTGCTGCTTCCTCGCCCACCACAGCTTCCTACCGGTAACAGCGCTTTTGGGAAACCGTTCAAACCCTCGATTACGACGGATGTTGCACGCACTGCTCCTTGAATGAGGGTGTACGCGTGTCGTTCGACCTGAACGCTCAACAACTCGAAGACCAAGCAAAAGAGAGAGGGCAGAAACGACTCATTCTCAAGGCCGAAAACAACCAGAGTTGGCACTATCGACAAGTGGCCGAAAACTACGCAGAGTACATCGAGGCCTCCAAAGTCAGAGTGTACAGATCACGGGCCAACAGACCGGGTCAACATGCTCAGTATCAAGCAAACAAGATCACTAAGGCACTCACCGAGAAGACGTTCCACTGCGATGTCTGTGACATTCCCTTCGGCACGAAGCAGAGATTGAGTGATCATCAAAAGACGCCCAAGCACCTCCGCAAGTCTGAGGAGGGAAACAATCCCTTCGTCTGCCAGCCGTGCAATCTCGGGTACCACAACAAGAGCAATCTCACCCGCCACGAGAAGTCGGCTCGCCATCAGCAGAACCTTGCTGCCTGGAAAGAGAACAACCCCTAATGCCTTTCGTCACTTTGGACCATCTCCCAAACTCCCCATTCCCCTGGCATCCGGGGACCCTGGGAATATAACTGCTTTGGACCATCTCCCAAACCCATTCATTGCATGCCATGCATGCCCGTCTCTCATACTTCTATCTCCACCACCCTTTCCAACACGCCGGATTTCTTTTCTCTTGCTCTAATGTCTAATGTTTCTCATCCTCGTGGACCAAAGCTAACTTACTCACCGTACAACCCCGAGACGATGAGCACCGATTATGATTGCGCCGACCGTCTCTACTTTGAGGAGCTCAGTTACGAGCGTGTGATGGACATCTACGAACTTGAACACTCGTCTGGTGTTATCGTGTCCGTGGGCGGCCAACTCCCTCAGAACATCGCTCTTCGCCTCCAGGAAGCCGGTGGCGCTAACGTTCTCGGAACCGATCCCAAGGATATCGATCGTGCCGAAGACAGGCAGAAGTTCTCTGAGATCCTTGACAGCATTGGTGTTGATCAGCCAGCCTGGAAGGAACTCACATCTGTGGCTGAAGCCGAGGCATTCGCCACACAGGTTGGGTACCCCGTCCTCGTCCGTCCCAGTTACGTCCTTTCCGGTGCCGCCATGACTGTTATTCGCAGCCAGGAGGATCTCAAGGACAAGCTCGAGGCCGCCAGTAACGTCTCCCCCGACCACCCCGTTGTCATTACCAAGTTCATCGAGGGCGCTCAGGAGATCGACGTCGATGGTGTCGCCTCTGATGGCAAGCTCATCCTCCACGCCGTTAGCGAGCACGTTGAGCAGGCCGGTGTTCACTCTGGTGACGCCACCCTTGTTCTCCCTCCCGCCAACCTCGAGCAGTCTATCATGGACCGTGTCAAGGAGATCGCCGAGAAGGTCGCCAAGGCCTGGAAGATCACTGGCCCCTTCAACATGCAGATTATCAAGGCCGACGACCCTGCCGGCGGCGAGGCTGCCCTCAAGGTCATTGAGTGCAACCTGCGTGCTTCCCGTTCGTTCCCCTTCGTCAGCAAGGTCCTCGGCACCAACTTTATCGATGTCGCCACCAAGGCACTCGTCGGCCAGCAGGTTCCCGAGCCCGTCGATCTCATGGCTGTGAAGCGCGACTACGTCGCAACCAAGGTTCCCCAGTTCTCCTGGACCCGTCTCGCTGGTGCCGACCCCTTCCTCGGCGTCGAGATGGCCTCCACTGGTGAGATTGCCTGCTTCGGCAAGGATCTTGTTGAGGCCTACTGGGCCTCTCTCCAGTCGACCATGAACTTCCGCATGCCCGAGCCTGGCGAGGGTCTCCTCTTCGGTGGCGAGCTTTCCGAGGCATGGCTCACCACCATCGTCGACCACCTCGCGCCCCTTGGCTTCAAGCTGTTCGCCGCCGACGCCGAGGTCAAGCGCTTCATCGAGTCGTCCGCCAAGGGCGGCGCCTCGGTCGAGGTCATTGAGTTCCCCAAGGAGGACAAGCGCGCCCTCCGTGAGGTCTTCCAGAAGTACGACATTCGCGGTGTCTTCAACCTCGCCCGCGCCCGCGGAAAGACCGTCATGGACGTAGACTACGTCATGCGCCGCAACGCCGTCGACTTTGGCGTTCCTCTGTTCATGGAGCCCAAGGTAAGCTAAACATACCCCTGATTTCTCACCAATGCGAAATCTTCCGCTGCAAAAGAGGACATGTGCTAACTTGTCAGACCGCCATGCTCTTCGCCCAGTGCATGGCCGAGAAGCTCCCCCGCGCCGAGGGTATCCCCTCCGAGGTTCGCCGCTGGTCCGACTTTATCGGTGGCAAGCCGCTGTAAATAAACAATGAAAACCTTTTAGAGAACCAAAACCAAAAAAAGGAAGCCAACCAAAAAGACCAAGGCAGGAAAGGGAACAAAAGAATCAAGCCATTTTTTTTTTCACGTTCATTAACGTACAATGACTTGCCTGTCTCTCGCTCGCTCGACAAGGATTTCAGTCCTTTGTGCGAGGGAGGTGGTTTTCTTTTTTTTATTCAACCTGCCCTGCCCTTTCATATTCCCCCCTCCTTTAAAGAAAGGCGTTTTTGAATGGGGCGAACTAAGATTTTTCACGTGTTTTCCCATTGTTTTTTTTTTTCTATTTTCTTCCCTCTTCTACTTTCTGTTGATGCGTGATTTCAAGGTCTTGTTCGGCTGGCGCTAGTTTGCAACGTTGGGAACGTAGACCGGTCAGGAGAGGGAAAGGGAGAGGGGCGGTCTGCTCGCAAAGTAGTCGGGTCGGCAGCCTGGAATAGTTAGGTTGAGAAACGGGGCAGAAATATAAAAAAGTAGTTCAAGTACGAAGTAGCCGCATGGTGAGACATGAGAGACACGGCGAGACACGAGTTGAATGTATTTGTGCATCATGACGAGTAACGTGATGGACCATGCCAAGCTATTTTGCCCCGTCGCATTCCGGCTCCGGGGACCTTTAGTCTTTCCCTGCCGCGTCTAAATGCACCCACATCCGGAACACCATCACTGACTGTCGCATCCGCCCTTGGGGGTGATCTGCGTGTCGTGTGACTAGAAACCGAGAAACCACCACCGTCCCCCTTCCTTCCCCCCTGAAAATCAGAAAATGGACCATTTAGCTTCCCTGAACCACGTGTCAGGACGCATTTCGCCTTTCATCCTGTGCTTTCCACCGACTCGCCACTACAACACGCATGTCGTCCGGTGTGGAGTCGTCGCCATCTCACGATCCTTGAGACCGTTGGCGCTCGTTTAGCCTGAAGGCAGCAAATCGTTTAGCAAGCGGTTCTCCGGGCTCGCTGGGGATGCGTGCTGAATGGGGAGGCGTGTCGCTGTCCGCGGCGCCGGCGCCGTTGACTCCAACGGGGCCAGATCTTGTGGGAGGGGCATATGGGTGTCCCTCAGGCTCCCTCGAGCGCTTCTTGGGTTTGGTGTCACGGTGGGGGGTTGTCTCACCTGCCGATGACAGGATCGCCTGGAGCGTCTGCCAACCTTCAGTGGAGCGTAGCTGGTATGAATCAGCGAGGTCGTGCTGAGCGGCCACGCGACAGAGGAGCGCCTCCTCATCCTGAGAAACGGGGTTAGCTGCGAGAACGGTAGGCCCTGGGCCCTTTGGCACGAACCTTGGATAAGATGCCCATTTGGTGGACGAAGCACAGGAGATGAAAGTTGGACATCTCAAGGCCATCGTCCTTGGACTTTTGGCCGCCATTGAACTTGAGAATCTTGGTGACAGCAGAGTGCTCTTGGCTTTCGCCAATGTATTCACGGTTCTCAATCGGGAAACCAGGCTGGATGAAAGTAGGCTTGGGGTCCGCAGGGAAGCCGTGGGTTAGTGTGACGAACAGATACTCTGCCGGGAACGCGGGCTTTGCGTTTTCCTGCACGTTGGCGCCGTACTCGTTGATTCTTCGGTAGAAGACTTCCGGCACGTAGCGAGTGCGGCTCGCAGTCCCATCGTCCTCCTCCTCGTCACGGACGAGCATCTGTGTTGGATCCGCAGAGGGCTCGATGAGATCTGCCCGAACCATTTCCACCGCGTCGTTGGACACCTGGTAAGCCGAAATGGCAATCTCGCCAGACTCGTTGCCGCTGATGACGCACGTAACAAAGTTGGAGCCGAACCGGCCAGTGTCGCTCCACTTGGAAGGCTTGGGATGTTGGGCCTGCAGTCTCGATGAGAAGCAAATCTCTTGGGCGGCTAGGAAGAACGAGTCGGCGTGGCGTTTGCAGACGACTGAGCCGTCCCCGCTGCCGGCATCGAGGAGGTCGGTCCAGATGACGCCGACCTGTTGCAGCCCGCACATCCTGGCGACCTTGTTCACCTCCTCCTCGTTCTCCCACACGTTCAACGAAACGCCATCCGACTCGTCAACCTGAGGCACCTCGTAGATGGCCTCAACAACCGCCTTGACACCGAGGGGCACCTCTTCGTATTCGGCGTACCGGCCATAGAGGTATCCCAAGCGCTGCGAGCCCGTCTTTCGCCAGGCATCGATAAAGGTGTTGATGATGGAGGGGTCGGAAAACTCGACGTGATCGACGTTTCGGAAGGTCTGGGGCTGGAGAGAGATGGCGCTGGGCTGGCACTTGGAACAGATGCCCTCGGGCCACTGCGGGTGCCCTGAGGGACAGTCCCGCTTGACGCGGAAATAAGGCTCCTGCAGCGGCGGGATGAAGGAGCTTCCGAGTTCGGGCTTGTTCGTGGCGGCGTTGTTCTTGCGCAGGTAGGAGTGGATGGACAGGTATTTGATCTTCTTTTCGTCGAGGTACTTGGCGTTGAAGGGGTCGAGGGGCATGCAGTAGTCGCACATGCCCTTGGGTCCGTGCTTGCACATTTTGTGATCGCGACCTCGTGGGATCTTGCCGTTCTTCTTGTCCAGTCGGTCGTCCAACGCCGACTGCTTTACCACCTCCCAGGGTTTACTGATCCGTTCGACTGTCGCCGACGTGGACGGCAGGGGGTCAATAGGCACGTCCTCGGCTGGCAGGATGGGTTTGCCATTCAGTCGGTTGGAAGAAGGGAGGATCTGGGCTGAAGCCGATGGTGTGGCTCCATGAGCGTCGCCATTGGAAAGAGCATCTCGGTGCTTGTATGTAATAAAGATGAGATCGCCGTGCCTGTTGCGCGGTCGCGCCGCGTTAGTATGACTTGAACATATGATGGCCAGCAAACAGCAGGCTTACTTGAGACCGATCTGTCCGAGTTTGAAGTTGGCGATGTCCCCCAGGCGCTTGGAATCGTTGCCGTTGGGGTTGTTGGAGAGGGTAATGGTCGTGGGGTCGACAGTGGTGGGGAGGTTGGGAAGAAGCTGGCGGCCGAGATCTCCAAAGTTGTCGTTTTGGTCGACGGTCAGACGGCTCATGCCATCCGGACCACGGACTCTCAGTAACATGGCGGTAAGGCTTCCTGCTGCAGGCTAGGGTTGTCGATGTCGGTACGCGAGACAGGGTCTGGTTCGTGCTTTGGTGGTCAAGGTGGTGGGTGAACAGCAGGGTTCGGGAGCGGTGGAATGCGAAAATGCAGGGACAAATGGAGGCAGGATTGGAGGCGGCAGGTTCGAAGAATGACGCGCCAGGGATTTGGAGTTCTTTGTAGAAGGGCCTTTCTGGGTAGGTGGAAGCTTAATGATGGCTTCGAAGCTCTGGTCGGGTAAGATGTGTGGTGGTGGTGGTAGTACCAGTGCTGTGCTCACAAATGCAACAGCCTCCGGGTCGTCAGGTCCAGCGTCATCAGGAGCTGCCTCCAGCACAAGTGGATCCCTTGACAGCGCGGGGCGGCATCGCAGTGGGCCTACCAGCCTAGGTACCAAGGTTCTCAGCCTAGGTAGGTACCTAGGTGGGTTCCTAGGTAGGCTTGGTAGGTCCCCTCGGCACCTACCTAGGCTTTCGAGGCGCCCAAGGTGAGAGTAGATTAGATAAGCCAACGAACCCTGCGGCGCAATCGAGCCACATCTCTGCTTGACCTCGACTCGAAAAGTACAAGTTGCATCACGTCAAACGGACAAGGGTCACTTTCCCCCCAAAGCTGGCATCTTTGAACCATCGCGACACTCCTTACGCGCACCACCACCACCACCAACCCCTCCACCTTCGCTTGCCTCTCTCTGCTCGACATCGACCACTCTGCAGCCAACGCATTTCCCCTCGCACACGCGGAAACCGCAGCCATGGTCAGCTTTGGCATCCCCGAAGTCGACTGGGTGAGCCTCGTGCTCCCTGCCGCCTACGTCCTCGTCCTCGGCAGCGCCCTCTTCACCTTTTCCAACATTTACCGCAAGCGCAAGGCCGGTATGTTGCGATGAAGCTCTTCTTCCTCTCCAGTGTGCCCGCAGCGGTTCTGACTTTGCCTTTTTCCCCTTCTTTCCAGCACAGAGCGCGAACCTGGCGCCGTGGTTCGGCCCGCACCTCCAGCGCAACATCTACCTCTCCCTCCTGCACATCAACCCCGAGGACCCCTCCGAGAAGGGCCCCCGCATCCCCGACAGCGTCATCAGGGCGGCACTGCTGCGGCGCGCCGTCGAGGACATCCACAGGCTCGTGCAGATCAGGACGGCGAAGCAGGCGTGCAGCTCGCTGCTGCAAAAGGGCAGCGTCGGCGACGATCTGTGGCAGCGGTTCCAGCGCGCCGAGAAGGAGATGGAGGACGAACTGAGGGACGTCGTCATGGAGGTACGTTCTTGCGAGGGATCCGGGCGCCGTGTCGTTTCGCTAACATGTGCGTGTCTCCTCCCCCGCCGCAGGCCAACGCCCTCGCGCCCAACTGGGGCCAGATCATCTTCCAGTCCGCCAACGAGATTGCCGCCAACACGGTGGTGCGCAACCGCCTCGACGAGATCCAGGACCAGGTCGACGCCGAGAAGGAGTGGTGGGAGAAGCGCCGGGGTACCATCCAGGCCGACTTTATGAAGGAGCTCGACAGCGAGAAGGCCGACTCGACGAACCCGCCCAGCGTCGACGGCGATGCCGTGTTGGTGGACACGACGAAGGTCGAGGCGTAAACGGTCGAGGCGTAAACGGGTGCCTGTCTCGATGTCCCGCCTCTTACTCCCCTCTCACGATCCCGCCTTCGCCACCACTCTATATCCTCCCCGCCCATCTCACCAGCGCTGGGCGCTCACCACACCCACACCATCACACATGCTGTACAGTCTGCAGTCTTCACCCTCGGCTCGGTCTGAGCCCCCGGCATCTCATACCAGTCCGGTCCTCCTCTAGGGCTTTCTCACTTTGCTCGGCGTTCAGAGGGTCTGTCTGTCTGGATGGTCACCCAGACCAGGCACGGGAAGTACTCATTGATTAGTTTTTTTATAATCAAATGAAATGAAAAAATCTCCTGGAAATAAACCATGATGGATGCAAAATGATTCGCAGCAAAACGTGACGCGAGTCGCGCTGCCATGCGTGCTATGCCCCCCGCTGCCCCCATCGCCGCCTGGAACTCCGTGATTCTATGGATAAACGCCCACCGCCCCTCCAAATGCAGTCAGGTCCGTTGCCGGGTATGCTGAAAGCCTCCGCTTCTCTTGCCACCCGTCGTGCTCTGCAGTTGTAAATGCGACCAGATCCCCAAGATCAGTGCTATGCAGTTTAAAGAAAAAAAGAAAAAGAAAAAAAGCCAATCAAGTAGAAAGAGGTGCCGAAAGAAACATGTCCACCCAAACCCCCCCTCCTGGTACCGTAAACTCCACGCTCCGATTCATGTTTCTCATAAGAGGGAAAGGGTGGTTTGCCCCGAAGGGAAAAGGGCGGTTGTCCTGTCGAGGGATGAAGGCGCCTCGCTCACACATACCAGTGCAGCTTCTTCTTCATGGCGTCGTCCTCGTCGGCAGCGACGCGCGCCTTCCTCGCGTCCTCCTCAATCTGCTCTTCCGTCTTGAACCAACTGGGACGCAGAGCTGCTGAGGGGCCCACGGGCTTTGGGGGCGAAGAGCGGACGGCGATGGGCGTCAGGCAACCCCTACTGCCACAGTCAGTTTTTTTTTTTTTTTCTTTTTCACTCTTTTCACTTTGCCTTCTTCTACCCGTCAAGGAAGAGAGGGCAGAAAAAGGCATGGCAAGGAACGTACCTGAGGCCGATGAACTTGCCAATCTTCCTCCTCTTCTCGTCAAGAGTGAGGTTGGGCCCCCAGGTGATGGGGCAGGGATACTTGGCCGAGTGCGGGCCGGGCGTGCGCTGGTGGTAGAAGCGGGCCATCTCGTCGAGCTCGGGCTCGGTGAGCAGCCAGAAGCTCAGCAGCGTGCGCGGGAAGGACGGGTGGACGTGACCCGTCGTGACCTGGACGAGGGGTTGCAGGTCGAGGGCCATCTGGCGGAGCTTCTCGCGGAAGGCCGGCGAGCGGGCGGCGCGGCGGGCGATGATGCCGCCGGGGCCGGCGCTGGGGTTCGTGCGGGCGCTGGTGCTGGTGCCGGTGCTCGTGCTGGCCCTTGCTCGTGTCGAGGTGCCGCTGCTGGCGTTGCGGCCGCGGCCGCTTCGAGAAGGGGAGCGGCCGCGGGCGTTTGGGCGGCTGGTGGACATGGCTGAACGGGGGGGAAAGGGGGGGAGTTCGCTAATTCGTATTTTTCTTTTTCTTCTGCCCTCTTCGTTTCCTTTTTCCTGCGTTCTTGCCAGGTGGTGGTGCGTGGTGATGTGATGGGCGTTGCAGGATGTCTTAGGTCGGAGATTGAAGGCGTGACAGGCTGGCGGTGGTAATGTGGCAGGTAGCTGGTGCGTGCGTGTGTCCCGCGTGGTTTTCTAGAAGGCGACGATCCCTCCTTCTATCTGCTGCTGAAGATGCTCAGGTTTGCTTTTTCTTTTTTGGGCAGCTGTGTGGTTTGCGCGCCCCCAGTTTCGTGGGTTCGGGAGTCCGAAGGAGTGGTGGTTGTCAGGACCTCAGTGCGCCGTTTTGTGTAGCCGTTGAGATGGAGGTTTGCTTGTTTCGCATGCGTGATGGATGCGTGACCCGTGATGCGTGAGAGGGAGAGAGGGAGAGAGGAGCAGACCAGTCAAAGTTCCTTGTCCTTTTCAAATCCTTCCGGGGAAGAAGCTGTTGTTCGCAGAGCGGTCTTGAGAAGGCGGCAGATGAGTCTTGCTTAGAGGAGGGTATTTAATCCTGGTGGTACGTTGCCCCCCCCAAAAAAGGTAGGAGATACTGGTCTAAGAGGATACTTGGGGTATAAGGCGAGAAGGACAGCAATGGAATATGTATACGAGGCTTAGATCATTCAGGAACCGAGAACACCATCTTTCGCCTTTAGCATCTGTCAAAGGAAAGTGCGCGCCGGCCTCCTTCTTGTATGCCTCGAAAGAAAACGCAGCACCCGAGGTGGAGGGGGAGAAGAAGGGGGGGCGCGGCGTGGTGTCTGCGCGTGTGCATGTCTAGGTGTGTGTGTGTCTTCGACGATCCTTTGACGCCAATTCCAAGACACCACGCCAAAGGGGCGTGCCCACCCCAGTAACAGGAAAGGGGACAGTAGGTCCCGCGCCGCTGGCAAAGCGGGCCAAGAGAAAGAGAATCAACATCGCGTCAGGTAGGATCAATTCACCAGCAAGCCAGCCCGCCAGCCCGCCAGCCCGCGCCCACATGAGCACGGCACTCACCGACAGACGGGGCACGACGGAGGCGACGGGGGGGTGGAGGGGCCATGGGGCATGGGGCAGAAGGTGACGAGACCGAGCCGCCGCATGAGGGTAAATGAACGCCGCGCTTGTTCCAGGTGGTCGCTTCAGCCCAGGAGGCCAGGGTCGATGGTGGGCAGGCCGGTTGGGAGGCGCACCAGGTCAATAGACGCTACGACGTCAGGCGAGACAGAGTAGGGTACCTAGGTCAATGAGGCAAGGCAAGCGAAAGCGTGTAAGAAGCTTTTGTGCCCCCCCCCCCCCATCCTTCGTGAACTGTTCGCGCCATTCTTCAGACGAAATTGCGATGAGGGAGACGCAGAAGAAGAACGCCGGCGTATTGACAGCAGACCGGGTGGCAGGACAGAGAGCTCGTCAGAGGGAGAGCGCCGTCACTGTCGAGCCAGGTTCTCGGGATGTACGCCTCCCTCGTGGTTCGAGGGGTTTTCTTTGTGTCTGTGGTGAGACATCATCACCGGCCGGCGACAAGCGTTGTGGGTTCCCCCGCCGCATGTAGAATGGCCCCCGAGACACACAAAGATGACATTTCTGCTGCCCTCGGGCCCATGCTGCGGGAAGGGGAAAAAAAAGAGTCTTTGATCTCTGGTGTGATTCGGACGGAGAGTAAGATGAAGTGGGAAGACGGGCGCCCCATCTATGACATGACGGCGACTGCAGGTATTTGGCGTCGGCGATACCATCATCAGTCTTGGCGCGAGGGAGCCAGGCCGACTTGCGTGCTGCTACACTGCCGATTCGCCATTTCGTGGCGAGATACCGTGGCGGCTTGAAAACAACACACAAGTCCGTTGTTCCGACCGAGCGACAAAGCCCCCCTCCCCCCGTTCAAGGCCCTTCAAGGCCCCTCAAGGCCCCAAAAATTGTCCTTTCTCATGCATTATCGGATATTACTGACTCAGAAGTGGCCTAGCTAGCAAAGCATCTGGGAGGAGCCCCCCCCCCCATGATGATGAAAGAAATAGGAGGGGACGCTCTCGCTCTCGGTGCCTCGCGATCCGAACGCCTGGAACCAACCAGTCCTAGACCGGGTGCTGGCGTCTGCGAGGCTGTCCCAGGAAAGTCTAACGCAGCCCTCTTAGCCTCCTCGCCTTATTGACAGGAGGCTTCTAGGCTCATCTCGAGGCCCAGGTCCAGCTCCAGGTCCGACTCCAAACTCCAAGACCCAGTCCCTTGGGCCAGGCACTGTCAACAACGTCGCGTGGTTCTCGCATCCATTGTTCTCCCTGGCTCTGTCACAAAGGACGCCTCGCCCCGCAACGAAGTCCCCCCCACCCCCCGAGATGGATCATAGCCATTTCAGCTTCGCAATGTGGTCGACCTTCTTTCTGCTAGCCTTGACAAAGCCCAGTGCTTTGAGCTCGGCCAGGCCCTGGTAGAACAAGACCAGCGCGACCCTCTCGCTGTGGCCTCCACCAGCTCGAACGCCAGCCGCGTCTTCAGCTGCCGCTGCCGGCCCAGGACCTTCGACGGTCTCGCCCTCGTCGGCCTCGTCGCCGACCATGGCGAAGAAGGCCGCCCACAGGTCGGCGACGTTGATGAGGCTGCCGCCCTCGAGGTACAGATGATACAACAGCGAGGTCACGGGCAGCGTCGTCGAGAGGCCGTCGCCGTGGCCCCGGCAGCAGTCGCACGCAAGATAGTCATGGGGTCGCATGAGGCTCCTCTCAAAGACGACCCTCGGCCGCGGCACAAAGACGTCGCGGTACGGCATCTTCGACTCATACAGCCACGCCTCGTGCAGGAAGCTGTCGGTCGCCGGCTCGCAGTGCGCCGCACCCTGCAGCAGCGACGCCACATTGTCGACGACCTTGGTAAAGGCCTTGTCGGCGTCCGACAGCGCCGCCGAGTCGCGGCTCAGCTGCACCTTTTGCGCGACGACCGTCGTGCGGAGGATCCTGCTGCTGCCGCTGTAGGAGCTGCGCAGCGTGTTGCCGTCCCTCTGCGCTGCCGACAGGAGCTCGCGGGACTCTGAAAGGCAGGCTTCGAGGGAGGACGCCAAGTCTTGCGCCTCCTGGGACTCGCTTTTCCATTCCTCGAGCCCGAGGTCTTGGTCGCCCTGGCCTAGCGTCTGGAGCAGGCTCTCTACCATGCGTATAAAGTCGGCCGGCTGCAGACGTTTGATGTTGGTCAGGATGCCAATGTCCACCGACGACAGGTCGATGCCTTCGGCGACGGCTTTCAGATACAGCTGCGAAAAGGTCTCCTGGTTGGCGCCTGTGCTCTTCAGCAGAGCCAGGGACCGGAGTAGCCGAGCTGACCAGGCTCTCCTCTTGCTCGGGATGTCAAAGATTTGCTCATACAGAAACGCATCGTCTTGAAGGGCCGACTTGGCAAATTGGAGGTCGCCCGTCTCGACGGCGTCTTCGACATGGCGGCGGAACGAGGGTAGCGAGCGGAATGCCTCGAGGTGCTCGGGCTGAACGAGCTCGCTGTTCAATTCATTGTCCTCGACGGCAAAGATACTCAACGGGTTGGCGTAAAAGTGACACATGTATGCGTACTTGAGTGAGCTCAGGAACGACTCGATGCTGGTGACCTGATCATGCTGCCTGTCGATGAAATGCTGCAGAAGCGACGAGCCAAGACGTAAGGAGACGTCTGCTCCGGCAACAGAAGGCTTGAAGATCTGCTCGAGGATGGTCGACGTCTGGACGACGTCGAACTGCGCACCGTACAAGAGCTGGCACGTCGATTTGAGAAGCCGCGCCTGGAACAGCTCGACCGACGTCGCCACGCCGAACAGCAAAGTAAAGGGAATGTCCGTGAGCCACGAGCTGAGCAGGTCGTGAGCGGAGACGCACTCTGTCTTGACAATTCTTGCTCACCTGAAAAGCACAATCAGATCCGACAGCAGACCGCCGTCGAAACCCTCGCTGTCCTGGAAAGCAACGAAGACGTGACGGCACCCGTGTGCCTTGACAAACGCAGCCAGGCCCTCGAGGTCATAGTTGAGATATTTGCGGCCCTGTCCACGTCAGCAGCAGGCCGCATACGCTCGCCAAAATAGAAAGAAAAAAAAAAAAAAAAGATGAAGCACAGAGCGGCCGACTCACCCCCTGCCCGAAAGACACCTCGCCGTCGTCGTCCCCCTCGTCATCGCGGGCCGTCGCATCCCTGACGACCTTTTTCAGCGCCGCCTTGAGGTTGCCCACCTCAGCGGACCGCAGCCTGACGACCCTGCTCCTCGGCTCGCCGCCCTCGAGCCTCGCGCCGAGCTGCCGGAACAGCAGGTCCTGCGACGCAATGTTGGCGCCCGTCATGATGAACGCAGCCGGCACCTGGCGCGGGTCCCCGTCCGCCGCCGCCGCGCGCCCCGCGTGCCGCCCCCAGGCAAACGCGGCCACCTGCCCCAGCGTCGCCGAGTTGGCGTCGCGCAACATGGTCTGCACCCGCCCCTCGATGCCCCGCCAGCTCGACCGGAAGAGCCTCTCGCGGAGGCGCACGCACGCGGGCGCCTCGGCCCCGTTCAGCAGCGGCACAAACCAGGAGGGCTCGTCCTCCGCGTTCGCTGCTTGCCGACCTGAGTCGGGCCTGCCGCCATCGTCGTCGGCGTGCCCGGAGCGGTGCGCAGAGGCCTTCTGCGAGGTGCGCCGGCGCTTGGGGGCCCGCTCGGCTGAGGCGCCTTCTTCTCGGGGCTGGAAGACGTAGGCAGCTTGGTGGTCTTCCTGCTGGAAATGCGGATCTGGCATGGCTGCTGTGTCGGCCATGACGGGGTGACGTTCGTTGGATGAGGTGACAATGGTCCGTCGATGGTGAAAGGACCGGTGACGTTGAATGGAGGGTTGGAGATGAGACGCGGTTGAGGCGCGTGGGGAAGCACGGACTCGAGGTGCACAGTTTTACGTCACCGAATTGGCACCGTATGGTCCCCTTGCCTCGCGAGCCCCTGAGCTTGTTGC